CACTTGATCATGTCAGGCCCACCCAGGATAATCTGCCTTCAAAATTCAACTGATTAACAAACTTAGGTGCTAGTAATTGGGGAGTATGCAAAGCAGGGCTTAATTCTGATGGAGACTATATTCAACGAATATAGAAACATCACAACTGCAGACTGTGAAAACTGCTGTGAAGAAAGTGAACAGGGTGGTGTGACAAAGCAACTAGGGAAAAGCTGTCCTGACAGAAGGTGGTATCTGCGCTGAGACCTGGATGCTGAGAATGAATCAGTCAAGAGAAGAACTGAGGGAAGAATGGTCCAGGAAGCAGCTGAACTTTCACCTTATGTCCGAAACAAATTATTCCAGAGTCTAGATTGTTCTCCTGAAGGGAATTCTCTGAAAACTTGTGGTTTTCTCTATCATCCATGGCTTCAAATAGTTCAGCAAAAACACAATTCAAGAAAGAATTTAATTTATTGAACACCTGGGGTGTTCCATGATTTCGAGATGCATAAGATAATGTCTTCTGCCCTCAGAGAGTGTCCTTCTAGGCCGTCCATCACGTCTACCACAATCAGTGGGATTAACTGCACACCAACTGTGCTCTCCTTGTATCACTGGTGCTGTAGGATGTTTTAGCTATTTAATATTTACCACAACCATTAACCAACTGCAAGTATTAAAGCTTTTTATACAAGAGTGTCATTTTATAGGCGAATGTGAATTTCAAAGTGAGTGTATTCTGTGTTAGCAAAGAAGAAAAAAAAAGTTTTTCTTTTAAACTGTTTCATAACATTTTAAATGAACTGGCTTTCAGTATGAATCTCGGTGTAACTCAAGTCTACCCTAGGTTGGAATATTATTCAAATATATATTTTATATTATAGAATCCATTGTTTTACCACAATAAATTATACTCTGAAATAAATCATATGAACATACAAGATACAAGTAGCTATTTGGGGGTTCTTCATTTCTTCACTATCTACCATCCCCTCCCCTCTACCCAGTTCATAAGCAGTTCATTAAATCCTGAAAACTCCACATCAGAAACATTTCTCAATCCCACATCTATCCCCAGTAGGCCTTAATTTATACTTTTAATGCCTCCCATTGACCCTTTGGACAACCTTACCTAGTTTTCCTGCTAAGAGCCTGTTCCTATTCTAGTCCATTTTCTACACAGTAGCCTGATTATCTTCCTGGAAACTGAACAAAGTCCCTCCCTGTCCTCATGGAGCTTACATTCTAATGAAACAGACTGAAAGTAAAAAACAAAAACAAAAAAGATAAAAATCTATAAAAAAATAAAAGCTGGGTAAGAGGAAACAGTAAAGGATGAAATGACATTTGATTATAACAAATAGCAGCTAAAGACCAGCAGAACACACCTATAATCAAACCAAGTTACGTTTAGTAAGTAGTTATGAGAAGGCAGCACACCATGTGGAACTGTGGGTACTCTTAGCGAATTTGCAGAAAACCATTATAGAACTGGGCTGTGTTAGGTGACTTTGCAGAAGGTTCAAGGTTTTGCTCTGGATTGGATGCTGGCAGGAAACAGAGGTAATTTTATAACTGGATATTTTAATATTCATTATCTAGAAGGCAGGAAGAATGGAGCAAGGCTAAGGTCATAATTGGCCAAGCAACAGCAGTCACTTATATTAGCCAGAATGGTCATTTTTGTGGTTTGGAGAATGTTCTTTTATGTGCTGTGTTCAGACATAATTATGGAAGGGTCTTATTTTTGCCTCGTTAATTATGGTCACAGAGTAGTTATGACGGATGTTGATATTTTGTGAGATTGTTTATGTTCAATGGAACACTCAGACCTAGCTGAGAATGCAAAGCCAGTTACCAGTACCACCCAGGTCTAGCTAACAGCACACCAGTCCAGCTCCTGGCTGTCCAGAGCTGCTTTTTTTTTCTAACAAAGCCATCAACTGCTACAATTGTCTCTGTAATTGTGATTTATAACTCTTACTTATAATTGTTTCCTGAACATTTAGAATATGAATTAGTATTAATATTATATAGGGTAAGAGTTCCAAAACTTATTACAGCTCTGGTGACAATAGTAGTTGCTTACTTAGCCATTGGTAAAATATATAAAACTCTCTGCTGCATGCTGTGGTAAAGAAAGAAAAAGAAGAGCTAGAGATAATCCTAGGACTCAAGGAATTTGCCATTTTTCTGGGGAGATTTGGGGGACGATGATGGTGGGTAATGAGAACAAACATGAAAATCTCTTAACTATAAGACACACGTATCATTTGTTAAAAGAGAGGCCGAGTCCAATAGGTAGACCAAGGACAACCTGCTTTTGGCTGAATGGCTCAGGAATTGGGAGTAAGAAAACAAGTATTGTAAATTTTGGTAATCACTTCAAAAATCTGAGTCTGTTGCTTCATCTCTAAATAAAGAACTTGGAGTTAGATTTTATGTGTAGTTCTGATAAGTTTGCATGGTGCCAGGCTGTCAGCATCACATAGGGAGCTTCTGAAAATCAGGTATTCTAGGGCCCTAACTCCAGTGTGTGTGAATCTTCATAAGTTTTTGAGATTCATCCATGTTTTCTTACTGCTGAGTAGTATTTTATTAGATGAATATATCAGTTTATTAATCTGTTCTTCTACTGATGGACATCAGCGCTGTCTGCAGTTCATGAATAAAGTTGCTGTGAACATTTCTGTACAAGTCTTTTTGTGAATATGTGTGTTTTTTTTTCCTTTTGGATAAATACCTAGATGTGAGATTGCTGGTCATAGGGCAGTTATATGTTTAACTTATATGAAACTGATAGCTCCACAATTTTTTTTTTTTTTTTTTTAAAGATGGTGTTTCCCTATGCTGCCCAGGCTGCAGTGGAGCAGTAACTATTCTTAAGCACAATCATAGCTCACTATAGCCTTGAACTCCTGGGTTCAAGTGATCCTCCTGAGTAGATGGGACTACAGGCACATGCCACTCCATCTGGCTCTGACAGGCCCACAATTTTGAAATAGAGAAAGTAATGTCTTATAATACTCTTGCATTTTGCTGAAAGTGCAGCCTAGTAGAGATGGCAAAGGATCTGTTGTAAGGTCTCAAGCAACCCCTGCCACTCACCAATGGAGCTCTAGGGCCCTGAAAGATGCACCTACAGGCAGATGGATGAAAGCTGTGTGGATAATATCTGTAGGTAAATGTCATTCAGCAGTGAATTTGATAGTGAGTAACAGGTATGTGAGACTCTTTGACAAATTATTGTCTCTAGGTTTCTTGGAATTCCGTTTCATTGTGATCAAGCTCAGAAAGGGGGATCCCTGAATGTGCAGACTTAAAAATCATTCTGACAGAGACCAATAATAAGAAAAGTTTGATGGCACGTTTCAGAGCTGGGTAAGGCCGGCCACTGTAGTGGGAAAATCAATGTAGGTTTAAAAAGTGGTCTCCAAGCTGATGGGCCTTGAATCCTGCAGTACTGCTTCCTCGGTCAGCTCTCTCAAGTTATCCTTACGAGCGTTTAAAAACACCCACCACTTCTCTTCCACCTTTCAGCAGATTACCAGGCTCTACTCAAAGAAAAATAGAAACCATCAGAAAGGAACGCTTTCACCTTCCTGCCAGAAACGTCCACCTATCTGCTTCCTTCACCTTTCCTTTCCTCATTCCCTCCAATCATGATGAAGAGTGTATTACTAAAGTACTATCCATTCCATCTTCTCTCCCCGTCTCCTCCTTTATACAGGTTCATTCCCGTCCGTATTTGCCTCCTCCAATTTCAACCTCTCCACACCAGCACTGCTCTAGTCACTGCCCTCTCTTGCCTCATTCCCTGCAAAGCCTATTTTCTCCTTCTCACCCGGGTCACCAAGGTTTGTCATATAATAGGCATCCAATAATGATGTTTAAAATATATAATGAATTCCGAGAGTGCAGATAATAAAGTCAGGCCTAGACGGTGGATGACTCACTGGGTTGAGAACCTTTATCTTTCTGCTGTATTTTGATGTATGCTTTCACTTTGAAATAAAGTTGTGGAAAGGCAGTAATATGCAACAAGTACGAAAACAAGTGGCGTAACACAATGGGGCCGCACAACTAATCAACCCCTCACAAGGCTTGGGCACGCATCACCCTAGGGTCGCGCATCTGCCATTCCACCAGAGGGGCGGTCTGGGCCCATTTCAGCCCTTCCGGCGGAACCCGCTTTGCAGCCCCGAAGTGGCCTCGGTTTCCGAGCCGGGGGTGGTGATGGGGGTGGAAGGTGAGGGGAACAGCCGAACGGCTCCCGGCCAATGGCAGCTCCTGAACTTACACCTCGAGACGTCAGCGCTGCTGTGTAAACGGATGTCACACAGCTGGCTCGGAAGTGTCTCCTCCCGCCTCAGAAAAGGGGCGTGCGTCCAGCGTCCTCTGAGAAACCTCGGGCGACAGCAAGGAGGGGCGCGCGCCTCACCTCGCGAGCCCCGTGCCCTCGCCAGCCAGCTTCTTCCCGCAGTCCCACTCTGGCGGTCGTCCCGGGTGAGCAGCCCGGCGCCGGCGTCCCCGCCCCGAGCGCGCCGCCGCCGCCGGCTCCGCCCCCTCCCAGAACGGGCCGCGCGCTCCTGCGGCTTCGAGCCGTGTCGCGGGCGCGCGCGCTGCTGGCGGATCCGCAGTTAAAATGGTCCGAGCAGGACCCGGCCTTGCCCCTGCCGCCGCGCTGACTGACTGAGCCGGCAGGCCGGGCCCGGACTGGTCGCCTAGCCGGCAGGCTCGCTCGCTCCCTCCCTCGCATCCCCAAAGCTCGCGCCCATCGTTCTCCCGGCTTCCCTGGGCAAAGCATGTAGCCCCCGTCGGGCACCCCGGCGGCCCGCAGCTGACGCCCACCCCCCACCCCCACCGTCGCGTGTGTGCCCGTGTGTGCGTGTGTGTGCGCAGCGCGGGCGACCCCGCCGCGGGCCAGAGGCCGAGCCAGCGAGCGGCCTGCCCCGCTGCCGGGAGCCCGCCTCTCTGGGCCTCCCTCCCTCCCGTCCTGGTCCCCCTCCTTGGGGCCTTCTATATGGGCCACCTTCTCTCGAAGGAGCCGCGTAACCGCCCGAGCCAGAAGAGGCCTCGCTGTTGCAGCTGGTGCCGCCGCCGGCGCCCTCTCCTCAGGCTGCCCCGCCGGACTCCGGCCAAGGCGCCCCCTCAGCCGGCGGCGCCCCGGAGCCGGGACTGCTTCTTCCGCGGGCCCTGCATGCTCTGCTTCATCGTGCACAGCCCCGGCGCGCCCGCCCCCGCCGGCCCAGAGGAGGAGCCGCAGCTCTCGCCGCCGCTGCCGCGGGACGGGGCCTACGCCGCCGCCTCCTCCTCTCAGCACCTGGCGCGGCACTACGCGGCCCTGGCCGCCGAGGACTGCGCCGCCGCCGCCCGCCGCTTCCTGCTATCCTCGGCCGCCGCCGCCGCTGCCGCCGCTGCCTCGGCTTCGTCGCCCGCCTCCTGCTGCAAAGAGCTGGGGCTGGCCGCGGCCGCCGCCTGGGAGCAGCAGGGCCGAAGCCTCTTCCTGGCCAGCGTGGGGCCCGTGCGCTTCCTGGGGCCGCCCGCCGCTCTGCAGCTCTTCCGGGGGCCGCCGCCGCCGGCCGAGCCCCCCACGCCCCCCGAAATGGTGTGCAAGCGGAAGGGGGCCGGGGTCCCCGCCTGCACCCCCTGCAAGCAGCCCCGCTGCGGCGGCGGGGGCTGCGGCGGCGGCGGTGGTGGGGGAGCGCCTGCTGGAGGAGGCGCCTCGCCGCCGCGGCCCCCCGACGCCGGCTGCTGCCAGGGCCCCGAGCAGCCCCCGCAGCCACTCTGCCCCCCGCCCTCCTCTCCCGCTTCCGAAGGTGCCCCCACCGAGGCCGGCGGGGACGCAGTCCGAGCCGGGGGCACCGCCCCCTCGTCCGCCCAGCAGCAGCTCGAATGCGGCGACGCGGACTGTCAGGAGTCCCCTGAAAACCCCTGCGACTGTCACAGGGAGCTGCCCTCCGAAACCCCAGACATCAACCAGCTGCCGCCGTCCATCCTGCTCAAGGTGGGTCTGGGCGAGAGGCGCAGGGATGCTGGCTTTCCCCCTGCCCCGGCCCCCGCCTCCGAGCTTTTCTCTCTCCTCCCCCTGAGCGCGGAGGAGGGGGGTTCCCTGACAGCCGGGGGACGTCCGAAGGGGCGACTGGGAAGCCAGTGGGGCCTGTGCTTCTGTCCTAGTTTTTGAAGTAGACAAACTTGGGAATCTACTGAATGTCTTTTAACAGTTTGGGTGTGTTAACCCACAATTCAGGGTTCATCTATTAGATTCCCAACCCAATGGTTTAGAAACTATTCGTAGGTTTTCTGTGAAAAAATTTTTTAAATCAATTTATACCTTGCTCAAAGTATAAGCTTTGCATATTAGTATTTGAAAGTATTCAAACATTACTTTCAGGTTTAATGGCTGCTAGTTAATGTCAGTAACAATTAACTTTTATGGAGAGTTTACCGTGATCAGGCACCTTGCCAGAACTTTATGTATATAATATCTCATTTATTCCTCCAGTCAACGCTGTGAGAGAAGTACTGTTAACATCCTTATTTTATACAAGAGGAAACTGATTTTTCAGTACTATGGGCCAGGGTTTACAGTAGTGAGTTAGGCAGATGTGATCTTTGCTCCTGTGGAGCTAACAATCTTGTGGGACTTGAAGAGGTTGAATGACTTGTGCAAGGTCACACAAAGGGCAGATTTGGGTCTTGAGCTAGGGAATTTAGGCCAGCTCAACTTAAAAACTTTGTTTATGCTGTGTTGTAATGCCTTCCTACATTTTAACCTTACATAAAAGCATACAAATTACCAGAAGTGAAGGACAGATATATTTTTTGTTGGGTGAGTGAATATAGAAGTAGGTGTCCTGCCTGTGTGAACTTTGTCATTTTCAACTACTCGGTAGATTTTGTGGTTTTGTCAATGCTAGCGACAAACTTTATTTGTGATAGTTTGTATTATTATTAACTTAAATTCTTTTTTCCTCATTTTTTCTCTTTTTTTGCACTCCTCCCTATCTGGAGCTTAATAAACATAAACCTTTTTGATTGTGGATGATACTTAAGACTAGCCATAAATAACCTTGATAAAAATATGGCTACTTTTTTTTTTTTTATTTCAGCATATTATGGGGGTACAGATGTTTAGGTTATGTATGTTGCCCTTACCCCTCCCCTGCCCCCCAAGTCCGAGTTTCAAATATGTAATATGGCTATTTTTATTGTTACTAAAGTAACTGTCATCAATTACAATTGTTACTGTCACCAATATACTTTTTGATTAGACTTTTTGCATATTTATAATCCTGTGTGTTTGAATCTGTTTTACTGTGATATTAATGTTCTTGTAAATAGTACAGCAAAAGAGTGGGAAAGCTCACATTTCCTTCTGTCAAAATGTAATGATTTAACTCTTATGGAGCTATATTTGTTGGAGGAGTAATTGCCTATTCTTTGTGTGTAGAGCTGCATTTTAGGGCAGAGGGAACTTCCTCCAGTCCTTTAAATCAGTGGATGACACGGATAAGTATCAACAAATATTTGGCATAGAGACTTGATTGCTATCTTCTTATTTGGCAAGTAAAACCATTTAAAAACGAATTGAAACCTAGATACTTTCTACTTAAACCATTATTTCATGAGGTAAAGAACATTTTAATACCAAAAAAAAAAAATGACGTGATCTCATAATAAAGAGAAACCCTATAGAATAAATTTATTCTCTCTACTACGTTGTTCTTTTTTACATTTTTGTCGTGGATTGTGGAAAACTTGGTCTAAGGGACGTTTGGGGATTACCCATGAATGTGCCCTGTTGTGTGTATTTGGATATGTTATGTAGATAGATTTCCATGCCTTGTATTAGAAATTCAAATAAAGATTCTCTGTCTGAGTCTCATGGTCCTAGTGGTATTCAGCATGAAGTGAGTTGTACTATCTGAGATGAATTGAAATAGAGATTATTCAGTGTCTGCCAACCCCCACTTTTGGGAGACAGAGGCTCTGGGATTCATATCTTGTTCATTGTTCTGTCTCCTCCCTTAAGTGCAGTGCCTGGCATGTAGTAGCATTCAGTAAATATTTATGAAGGAGTGAGTGATCAGGTGTTTAGAGTTTAGGCTGAGACTCAAGGTGAATATGCCATACCAAGAGAAGTTTCTAAGGAATGTTCATATTCTGACTCAAGGTATTGTTTGAACCACAGTAGAATCATGTGATAGTGAAAGGGTTCTGGCTCTGCTTCTGGTAAGGACTGGAGGCGTTTGGCTTGGAGAAGAGAAGACTTAGGGGAGCTCTGACAATATTTTTCCTAGTATTAGGAGAGTTGTTGCATAGAAAAGCATGAGTCCACACCCCCATTGAAAAAACATTCTTAGAAAGTATGCCCTGCTCCCCTTATGGATCAATAACATTTTCTTTTGTACTAGCAAGTTACTATAGTTGTAAAACAAAACAAAACAAAAAGATGGGAAGAATTTGGGAAAGAAATGTGAGGAAATGTGATTGTAAGGATGTTTTTGGGAAAAGCTACTATACTTGCCCAATTCTTTTAAGTATGGCAAAAGCGAAAAACCAAACTCTATGTTACTTCCTTCACAGGCCAGTTTTGGGTCAATATCAACAAGTTTGTCTCTATTTTACTTTTATATGAGTAATAAATATTATTTGCTTTGAAACATTCGAAAAAGCAGATAGCCGTATATGCCTGTAGTCCCAGCTCCTTGAGGGCTGAGGTGGGAGGATCACTTGAGCCCACAAGTTCGAGGTCAGCCTGGAACATAGCAACACTCCATCACTGGAAAAAAAAAAAAAGGCAGGGGGCAGGTAAAGCCCAAGTTTGCCTTGTTTCACCCCTACTGTCCCATCTAATTTCCTCTCCAGAGGTAACTAACCACTATTACTAGTTTAGATTTTTTTTTCTTAGACCTGCACTGTCCAGTACATTAGCCAGTAGCCACATATATTTAAATTCGAAGTAATTAAAATGAAATAAAATTTAAAATTCAGTTTTTCAGTCATAATAGCCACACTTCAGAATTTATAGTCACATGTAGTTGGTGGCTACCATACTAGACTGTGCAGATCTAGAACATTTCCATCATTATAGCAAGCATTATGTAAGCCTTCATAGCTTTTTTCATAAATGGCATCAAGATGTACATGGTCTGAAATTTTAAAAAAAATCTTGTTAATATGGTTTGGAGGTCTTTCCTTATTAGTGAGTGTTTCCTTCATTCTTTAACTGCAGCATAGTATCCTATAGTATTATACTGTATTGTATTTCTTTGGTAATGAATGTTTCCAATTTTTTATTACAAACAGTGCTTATAGATGTTTCCTATGCACATGTGGTCGTTACTGGAAATCATAATTATGTAACTTCAGAACAGGAAGAGACTTTTGAGGTTATTTAGTCACTCCTCCCGCCCTTTTATTCTTGAAGAAACAAGCCTGGAGAAATGATATGGCTTACCCCAAGACGTTTTAGTGAATGGCAGACCCTGGGCTGGATCTCAGCTCAGTGTTTCCAGGTACACAGATCTTTTTCAGGTATCATTGTTTAAGTGGGCCTGAATAATCTCTCAGGGATTTTACGAAAGGGATTTCTGAATTGTGGGGGACTTAAATCAGATGACTTCTAAACCACCATGAATCAGAGCCTAATTTTATAATTGGGTCTGTAGGATTGAGTTGTGGTCTTTAAATGTAAGAAATTTGAGAAGCAGAGTATGGCTCTTCAGAGTCAACTCTGGGAGTAGCATTTTCTCAAGTACTTAAACCTGTTATAGTTGGTCTTTGGTTAATGGATTGTTTTGGATCAAATAAGCTAGTTTCAGCCTTTGCTACTGTTGCCTTTATAACTAAGCAATTCTGCCTACTAATAGCACAATTAGGTTTTTATATGGTGGAACCACTATGCAAGAATTTTACTAAATGCTAGCAGTGGAATACTTTTCTTTAAGTAGTAACTATTTGAGTAATTGGTTATCTTGAGATCTATATTTAAATATTAGAGACTTTGTGTGCTATATGTTTAGATATCTTGCTGTCTGTCAGCAGACCTATTTCTTTCCAAAGGAGACTGGGTGGGAGATCCAAAATCCATCACCACCATTAGAAAATCACTTCATAATGCATTCACCCCTGTTACTGTGTCAGTGCATATTAAATCGTTATAGGTTTATCATCAACAGGTTGCTTTAGTGGTCAAGGCAGAGTTTTGTGAGTTTAAATGTGCTTTGGAGGAAAGCTTATTTATGTACCTGATCTATTTTTTCCAGATATGAAAGCAGAGATGAAAGCACATGGAAATGGGAACCAAAGAAGAAAAGTAATACCTCTTTTTAAAGCTTTGAGTGTAGATTAGTAGTGGGTAGGAGGAATTAAGTTATATATACCATTTCATGAGTGCTTGATTTAAGGCACCAGTTACCAGATTATGGAAGGAATGTCTGTGGAGTTCTAGGGAGGGTTTTAGTGCTGAAATGGAATGTCCTTAGGAAGTCAGGTTCACTATTTTTCTTTGCTGAGGCATGCCAGGTAGTCTTGATTAACTTAATTAGGATACCAAAAAGTGAGATTTATTTATTCTTCTCGTTTAAGAAGTCTGTAAGTTTTGGTGCCTTTTAATGAATAGCTGTCAAGGGGGTAAACTTGAGCCTTTCTTTGTCAATTTGGGGTACCAGGTTGTATAAATGATAGGGAAAGGAAGGGTTGATAAATGAAAGCAAATATGGAAGCATTTCACTTTAGCATAAAAATTGTTTAGCTTTGGCTAAATATCATATTTTATGCTTATCATCCACTTATTAAATTCCTTTTCACTTGGATAAACAAAACTAATCTAGATCCATCTAGATTAATCAATGATCTATGGTTTATAAAAGTCATATCACTCTTACAGAAAAGAAAACTGACATTCAAAGAACATACTAACCAAAGTTAGACATGTTTCAAACAAGGTGCTGCTTGGTTCCGAGGACCATGCCTAACATATACTGTTTGTTAATGCACTAA